AGGTCAAGAGATCGAGACCATCCTGGTCAACATGGTGAAACCCCGTCTCTACTAAAAATACAAAAAATTAGCTGGGCATGGTGGCGCATACCTGTAATCTCAGCTACGTGGAAGGCTGAGTGAGGCAGGAGAATTGCCTGAACCCAGGAGGCGGAGGTTGCGGTGAGCCGAGATCGCGCCATTGCACTCCAGCCTGGGTAACAAGCGAAACTCCGTCTCAAAAAAAAAAAGAAACACCTAAGTGCTAGAACTCTTATTTACCGTGGAGTTTTCGACTGCATTGAACACCACTTAATGTTTTCCTCAATCCCAAGCTTCTTGTTAAACTTTGACCTTGCCAACCATGGCACCTTAGAGGCAAATAAAAGCTTACCTAATTTATGAATTTTCAGATTTCTAAATATAGCACATGCGATAACGGGAATGCACCCAGTGTGCTTGTGGATGCAATAAAAGCCACGACTCTACCTTTCAAGCAGGCTTCCTTGACTTCAGCTCTGCTGACATTTGGGGCTGTCTGGGCACTGTGGCCTGTGGAGCAGTATTTCCAGTGTCTGTACAGTAAAGACCAGTAGTATCCTTTCCCAAAGCAAGACACTCAAAAATTCAAAATTCTAGAAAGGAAATCCACAGTGGATACCCACAAAGCTTCCTCATCTCAAACTATACCACTTTATTCCATATGTAGATTTTGAGTTTCCAGAACATTATTTTATCGGTACAACCATTGTTGTAAGGTTTTACATTGTTGTAAGGTCATTGCCCTGAAGTAGAAAAACTACTAAAAAGATGCCTATCAGCATATTCCTCAATGACACTGCCACCAATGGCTGAAGTTTTTATTATTATTATTATACCTTCAAATTCAATGAAATTTATATGTTTAAAAATTGGTCTTCTTTATTAAAAGTAACAACACACCTATGCACAGAGGTAAATAAGCAGTATACATTTAAAGCTAAGTCTTCTTTGAGATCAAGCTGACTCTATAAAGCAGCTGTTCCATGGGTCTTGGCAGTAGTTAGGAATTGTGAATCCTGAGCTTCATTTATTGGGAACCCCTGTGTAGATCATAAAGCACCTATAAAATGGGCCAACATACCCACCCAACCATGACAGTGTTGGTCTGAGTATAAACCTGGACTATGTGCTGAGTGCTTTCAAAGAAGCAGAGTGAAAGTAACTTAGTCTAAGAAGGTAGACCAGTGGGGCGGGGTGAAAAAATTAAAAAAGAAGGTACACCAAAATGAATAAAGAAGATGTTAAAGTAATCAAGCCACCAGAAATATTACACATTGTATATAGTCCTACTCCATTGTCTCTGAGAAAAGTCAAAAAAAGAGAAAACACAAAGCAAGCAAGTGAAGGACAAATACAGCTTTTAAAATCTCTGATTAACCCCACTAGGAATTTCTTTGGCTACCTGGTGTATGGCATTGCACATTGCAGGGTGGTGGTCCATAACTTTCTTGGCACCAGGGTCTGGTTTTGCAGAAGACAGTTCTTCCATAGATGTGATGGGATGATTTTCTTTTTGGATGATTTTCTTTTCACATCATTCAAGCATGTTACATTTATTGTGCACTTAGTTGATATTATTATATTGTAATATATAACGAAATAATTATACAACTCACTATAATGTAGAATCATTGAGAGCACTGGGATTGTTTTTCTTAAACTAGATGTTCTCATCTTGGGGAGATGAGAGACAGTGACAGATCTACAGGCATTAGATTATCATAAATAGTGTGCAACCTACATCCCTCACATGCGCAGTTCACAGTAGGGTTTGCACTCCTATGATAATCTGATGATGATGCTGATCTATAATGCCAGTGATGGAAAGTGGCTGTGAATACTGATGAAGCTTTGCTCACCCACCAGTTACCTCCTGCTGTACAGCCTGGTTTATAACAGGCCACAGACTGGTATTAGTCTGTCCCCTGGGTGTTGGGAACTGCTGATATAGAACAACTACAATTATTTACTTATTTATTTCAATGGCATGATCTTGCCTCGCTCCAACATCTGCCTTCCAGATTCGAGTGATTCTCCTGCCTCAGCCTCCCGAGTAGCTGGGATTACAGGCATGCACCACCACACACAGCTAATTCTGGATTTTCAGTAGAGACAGAATTTCACCATATTGGTCAGGCTAGTCTTGAACTCTGACCTCAAGTGATATGATTGCCTTGGCCTCCCAAAGTGCTGAGATTTCAGACATGAGCCACTGCACCTGGCTGGCAACTACATTTCTTACCATCCATTCATTACCAGGGTGCCTATGTTGTACCGTGTGTGGCATACACCAGGTAGCCAATAAACAGCTATTGATCAAATGTAGGACTAAAAAGGTAAGGTTTATTTTTTCTCCTTTAACATGCTGTACCTGGGTTGGATGCAAATAAGACCGTGGGAATCTGCCTGAAGTAACTTAAAATAAAAGACCCTTTTATCAAACGGTCATTTGGATGGTGTAACAAGTTAGGTATGAATGTATCACCTGTACCAGCTTAGTGAGATGCATGTTTACCATCACATAACAAACACGGGTTCTGCCACGGTAAGGACTTAGAGCCTGAACTTCTGATGAGAAATAAAGTGGTATGTAGAACACTCCAGAGAATGATTTTATATAGATTTATAAGCATCAGTAGCATTTCCTAAAAAATCATACATCTAGCAATTTTTTTTAAAAAAAGGTATCCTAGGCCAGGCGCGGTGGCTCAAGCCTGTCATCCCAGCACTTTGGGAGACCGAGGCTGGTGGATCACGAGGTCAAGAGATCGAGACCATCCTGGTCAACATGGTGAAACCCCGTCTCTACTAAAAATACAAAAAATTAGCTGGGCATGGTGGCGCGCGCCTGTAATCCCAGCTACTCAGGAGGCTGAGGCAGGAGAATTGCCTGAACCCAGGAGGCGGAGGTTGCGGTGAGCCGAGATCGCGCCATTGCACTCCAGCCTGGGTAACAAGAGCGAAACTCCGTCTCAAAAAAAAAAAAAAAAAAAGAAAAGAAAATGACAAGAGGAGGACGGGAGAAGAAATACAGAAAAAGGAGATGGGGGAGAGGAGGGGAAGCGAAGGAGAGGAGAAAAGAAAAGAAAAAGAAAAACAAAAGAAAAGTAGGAGAGGAAGAGAAGAGGAAGAGAAGGCAAGAAAAAGCAGCATGTGAAGAGGAGAAAAAGAAATAGGAAAATGAGTAAAGAAAAAGAGGAGAAGAGACAAAGATGAAAACAAAGGAGGAGAAAGAAGCAAAAAGGAAAGCTGTAGGGAAAGGAGAAAAGGACACAGAAAAAAGGAGGGAAGGAGGAAAAGGAAGAGAAGAGATGAAGAAGAGAAAAAAGGAAAAGCAAAAAGCAGGAGGAGATGAGAATAAAAGAAAAGGAGAAGGAGGTGAAAAGGAGGATAGAAGAAGAAAAAGAAGAGGAGAAAGAAAAACAGAAGAACCAAAAAAGAAGAGAAGTAGGAAAGAAGAAGTAGGAGCAGAAAAAAGAAATTAAAAAGCAGAGTAGAAGGAGAGAAGATGAATGAGAAAAAAGAAGGGGGGAGAGTAAGAAGAGAAAGAGAAGGAAGAAATAGAGAAGAATAGAGGGACATTGGGAGGAGAAAAATGGGTAAAAGGAGGAGATTAGAAGGAGGAGGATGAGAAAAAGAATAAAAGGGCAGAAGGAGGAGAGGTGAAAAAGATGGAGAAAAAAAGGAGAAGGTGGAAGAGGAGATAAGAAAGAAAAAAATAGGAGAAAAAAGGAAAAAGAGAAGAAGGCAAAGAAAAGGAGGTGGTTAAAGGGAGGAGGAAGAAGGAAGGAGAAGGAAGAAGAGAAGAGGAAAAAGGAGAAAAGGATGAGGTGGAGGAAAAAAGAATGTTAAAGTGGAAGAGATAAGAGGTGGAAGAGAGAAGGAGAGGAGTAGAAAAAGGAGAGAAAGGAGGAAGAGGAGGAGGAGAACAAAAAGACGAGGAGGGAGACGACAAGAATGAGAAAAATTAGGCAAGGAGAAGAAAAAAGGTGGAGGGGAAAAGCAGAAGGAGAAGAGAAGGAGAAAAAGGAGAGAAAGAGAATAAGATAAAATGACCAAAGAAAACAGGAGGAAGAAAAGAAAAAGGAGGAGAAAAAGCGAGAAGGAGGAATAAAAGAAAAGAAAATGAGCAGAAGGAGTGGGCGAGAAGGAGGCAGTGGAGAAGAGGAGAAAGAAGAGAAAAAGAACAAGGAAGAGGGATAAAAGGAAGGGGAAAAGGGAGAAGAGAAGGAGGGGAAAAATAAGAGGGAAAAAGGAGAAGGAAAAGTAGAGGAGGAAGAAGACGGGAGAAGGTGGAGGACTCAAAGAAAAGGGGAGGAGGGAGAGGAAAGGAGGATAGAAGGAAGAGGAGGAGGAGAGGATGAGCGGGAAAACAGGAGGAGGAAAATGAAGAGAAAAAAGAAAGGGGGAAGAAGTAGGAGAAGTCAAGAGAAGAAAAAGGAGAAGAAAAAATGGCAAAAAGCTGAAAAAAGGAAGAGAAGGAGAAATAGACAAGGAAGAGAAAAAAGGAAACAGGAGAGAAATAAAGTGGGAGAAGAGTAGAGAAAGGGGAAGCAGTAGAGAAGGAGAAGAAGAGGAGGAGGTGCAGGAGAAAAAGGAGGAGCAGAAAACAAAACAGGTGGAGGAGGACAGGAGAAGACAAAATTTATAAAAAGAAAGACGAGGAGGAGGAGAAGGAAGAGGAGAAAAAAGGAGGAAAGTAGTAAAAGGAAAAAATGAGAAAGAAAAGGAGGGCGAGATGGAGAAAAGAAAAAGGAAGAGAACAAGCAGGAGGAGAAGAAAAAAGATGGAAAGAACACGAGGGAGAAGGAGAAAAGAAAAGAGCAGGAGAAGTAGATGAGGAGAAGGAGAACGGGATGAAAGAGAGGTGGTGGAGGAGAGAAAAAGACGACAGGGGGCCGGGCGCGGTGGCTCACGCCTGTAATCCCAGCACTTTGGGAGGCCGAGGCGGGTGGATCACGAGGTCAAGAGATCGAGACCATCCTNGGAAAAAGGAGAAGGAAAAGTAGAGGAGGAAGAAGACGGGAGAAGGTGGAGGACTCAAAGAAAAGGGGAGGAGGGAGAGGAAAGGAGGATAGAAGGAAGAGGAGGAGGAGAGGATGAGCGGGAAAACAGGAGGAGGAAAATGAAGAGAAAAAAGAAAGGGGGAAGAAGTAGGAGAAGTCAAGAGAAGAAAAAGGAGAAGAAAAAATGGCAAAAAGCTGAAAAAAGGAAGAGAAGGAGAAATAGACAAGGAAGAGAAAAAAGGAAACAGGAGAGAAATAAAGTGGGAGAAGAGTAGAGAAAGGGGAAGCAGTAGAGAAGGAGAAGAAGAGGAGGAGGTGCAGGAGAAAAAGGAGGAGCAGAAAACAAAACAGGTGGAGGAGGACAGGAGAAGACAAAATTTATAAAAAGAAAGACGAGGAGGAGGAGAAGGAAGAGGAGAAAAAAGGAGGAAAGTAGTAAAAGGAAAAAATGAGAAAGAAAAGGAGGGCGAGATGGAGAAAAGAAAAAGGAAGAGAACAAGCAGGAGGAGAAGAAAAAAGATGGAAAGAACACGAGGGAGAAGGAGAAAAGAAAAGAGCAGGAGAAGTAGATGAGGAGAAGGAGAACGGGATGAAAGAGAGGTGGTGGAGGAGAGAAAAAGACGACAGGGGGCCGGGCGCGGTGGCTCACGCCTGTAATCCCAGCACTTTGGGAGGCCGAGGCGGGTGGATCACGAGGTCAAGAGATCGAGACCATCCTGGTCAACATGGTGAAACCCCGTCTCTACTAAAAATACAAAAAATTAGTGGTGCGTGCCTGTAATCCCAGCTACTCAGGAGGCTGAGGCAGGAGAACTGCCTGAACCCAGGAGGCGGAGGTTGCGGTGAGCCGAGATCGCGCCATGGCACTCCAGCCTGGGTAACGAGAGCGAAACTCCATCTCAAAAAAAAAAAAAAAAAAAAAAAAAAAAAGGAAAAAAAAAAAAGGAAAAGAAAGAGAAGGAAGAAAAAGCAGTAAGGGAAGAAGTAAATGAAGGAGAGAAGAAGGGAAGGAAAGGAGAAAAAAGTAAAGGAGAAAAAGAGAAACGGAGATTAGAATGAGGAGGAGAGGAAAAGGAGAGAAGGAGGAGGGGGATAAGGAGGAGGAGGGAAGGGGAGGAGGGGAAAAGGCGCAGAGGATAGAAAATGAGAAATAGAAGGAGTACAAGTAGAAGTAGAAAAGAAAAAGAGGAGACTGAGAAGTACAGGAGGAGAAAAAAGAAAGGGAGGAAGAGGAGAAGGATGAGAGAAAGAGAAGAGATGGAGGAGAAAAAGAAAGGAGGAGGAAGCGAAAAGAAACGGAGAAGAAGGAGTAGAGGAGATGGCAGAGGAGAAAGGGGAAGGTGGTAAAGAAGAAAAGGAGAAAAAAACAGAAGAAGGAGTAGAGGAAGAGGAGGAGAATTGGAGGGGACAAAAGAAAAAGGAGGAGGTGAAAAAAGGAGAAGAAATAGAAGAGGAGAGGAGCAGAAGAAAAGGGGATGATGAGAAATAGAATAGAAAGGAGGAGGAGAACGAGAAGAAAGAGGAGAGGAAGAAGAGAGGAAGAGAAGTAGAAGCGGAGAAGGAGGGGAGAACAAGAAAAAATGAGCAGGAGAGGAACGGGGAATAAAAGAATAGATGAGCAAGAGGAGAAGAGGGGGAAGAGGGGATAAGAGAAGGAAAAGCTGCAGGAGAGCTGAAATAGGAAAAGGAGGTAGAGAGAAAGGAGGAAAAGAAGGATGAGGACAAAAGGGGAAGACAAGGAGAAAGGAGGAGGAAAAAAGGAGGAGAGGAGGAAGAGGAGGATGAATAGAGGAGTTGCCAGGTGTGCCCGCAGACCCGGCTGGGCGGCGGCTGAAAGGAGCGCTCACACGCAGGGATCAGTGTAACAGCAGCTAGGGGTCTGCCTGGCTCTAGCGGCCTGAGTGCAGTCCCAGGAAGCTGAAGCGGCCTGCTTTGATTCGGTGCAGGCACGATGCCAAAACCCTGGAGCAAACACAATCTGCAGGTAATTAATATTTATTGTTCTCCTTTCAGGGACTGTCACGGGCAAGGATGTTCAGAGGTCAGCTCCCAGACAACCTCAGAAAAACAAACCTGATCAAAATAATGTACCCCTCACTTTCTTATTTTATTTATTTATTTATTTATTTTTTGGGGGACGGAGTTTTTCGCTCTTGTTACCCAAGGCTGGAATGCAATGGCGTGATCTTGGCTCACCGCAACCTCCACCTCCTGGGTTCAGGCAACTCTCCTGCCTCAGCCTCCTGAGTAGCTGGGATTACAGACACGCGCCACCATGCCCAGCTAATTTTTGTATTTTTAGTAGAGACGGGGTTTCACCATGTTGACCAGGATGGTCTCGATCTCTTGACCTCGTGATCCACCCGCCTCGGCCTCCCAAAGTGCTGGGATTACAGGCTTGAGCCACCGCGCCCGGCCAGGAGTATTCTTTTTGAATCAAAGAGTAACCCCCAGTAGTGGAGGTCTATCCGGGAGAGGTGTTTTTGCACATTGCTCTATAGAGCTGTTACTGAGGAACTTCACCAGGGGTATGTTAATCGCTCCTAGCCAGGCAGTCATGTTGTATGAGTTTCAGGCAGAGTGAGAGAATAAAAAAAAAAAAACAATGAGAGAGTTGCAGTGTGCAACAGAGAGCATAGCAAGGAACAGATCATCTGGAGCAAACAGCGTTTGTGTCCAGAGCAGAATTCGGTCAGCATCTGGAGTTGTCTTCTTCAGCGTAATGTCCAGTATCTTATCTGTGTTTTCCAAGGAAGCTGCAACGTCCGGGGCTGCAGGTCCTGCAGGGTTGTATTCTTTTTCTTTTGGTACGGGGTTGTTTCCCAGTCACGCCATGGTAAGGTTTGATGTGTCTCACTGGAATTCAAAGAGGACCTGAGGGGGTGTGAACACAAGCATATTCTTCTCTCAATGCTAACGGGTCACTTAGACAACACCACACATTACTATTTCCATCTTCCCATAAAACTGAAGGGTTTATATTTTGAGTGATTTTTGCAAAGTGCTTTTCTATACCTGATTGAAATTTATCATCTAAATTTAAGAAATTCAGAGTAAATAATGCTTGTGCCAACAGCATTGCTGGGTCTTTACTCATATTTCTCTTGTTTTCTGAGCATATTTTTAATGGTGAAGTGGGCAGGTTCCTGTCCTTGGGTGTTATGCAAGATACCCATGGAAAGTTGGACATTCCATGTTTGACAAAATTGTTGAAATTGTGAGCTTGTGTAAGCTGGACCATTATTAGTTTTAATGGTTTTGGGCTGCCCCATAAGCACAAAAGTTGAGAAGATGTTTAATGGCATATGAGGTGGACTCTCCAGGAAGAGCATGAGCACTGATGAGGTGGAAATTGGTATCTATGGGTACGTGTACCTATATTAGTTTTCCAAATTCAGGGACGTGTGTAACATATGTTAACATGTGTGTAACTGATTAGGTTCTAGTCCTCTAGGGTTAATGCCTGTTAAAGAAGGGGACTTTCCTGTGAGCTGGCAACCTGGGCATTGTAAAATAATGTATTTAGGTAGTCTTTGGGCAAGTTAAAATTGTTTTGTTAAGTTTCTTTAATGTTAGTGGAAAAGTTGATGTGATTGGGTGGCTTGGTCAAGATGTAACGTCATAACCTGCAGGTCTGCTTCATTATTGCCGTAAACTAAGGGACCGGGCAGTGAGCTGTGAGCCTGAATGTTTGTAATAAAAATAGGATGTTGTGGGAGCGGGGGTTCCTGAGCAAAATGGCCAAATAGAAACAGCTCTGGTGCATAGCTCCCAACAAGATCGATGCAGAAGGCAGGTCCTGTTCACATTTCCAACTGAGGTGTCTGATTCATCTTATTGAAGCTGGTTGAACAGTGGGTGCAGCCCAAGGAGGGTGAGCCAAAGCAGGGTGGGGCATCACCTCACCCAGGAAGGGCCAGGGGCTAGGGAACTCTCTCCTATCCAAGGGAAGCCATTAGGGACTCTTCCCTGCACTCCCCTGGAAAGAGAGTTGAAGCCAGGTAACAAAGTGGTCTGTCTCGGTGTGTCCCACCCCCATGGAGACAAGCAGGCAAAGATCCACAGGCTTGAAATTCTCACAGCCAGCACCGCAGTCTGAGCTTGATCTGGGATGTTTGAGCTAAGTGTGGGGAGGAGCGTCTGCCATTGCTGAGGCTCGAGTAGGCAGTTTCAACCTCACAGTGTAAACAAAACTGCCAGGAAGTTTGAACTGGGCGGAGCCTAACACAGCTCAGCAGCTGCAGGCAGACTGTCTCATTAGATGTCGTCACTGAGGAGGGTGTCTCTGAAAAAAGGCAGCAGCCCATCAGGGACTTATAAATAAAGCCCCACCTTCCTGGGACAGAGCACCTGGGAAAAGGGGAGGTTGTGGGTACTGCTCCAGCAGACCTAAATGCCCCACCTGGCAGCTCTGAAGAGAGTGGCAGGTCTCCCAGCACAGCACTGGAGCTCTGTTAAGGGACAGACTGCCTCCTCAAGTGGTTCCCTAACCTTCATGTATCCTGACTGGGAGACATCTCCCAGGAGGGGCTGACAGACACCTCATAACGGAGAACTCTGGCTGGCATCTGGCATGTACTCCTCTGGGATGAAGCTACCAGAGGAAGAAAGAGGCAGTGATTTTCTCTGTTTTGCAGACTTTTGCTGGTCATTTCCAGGCATGCAGGGTCTGAAGAGGACCTCCAGTGGACCTTCAGCAAAGGGCCTGGACTGTTAGAAGGAAAACTAAAAAACAGAAAGAAATAGCTTCAACATCAACAGAAATGACATACACTCAGAGACCCCATCCAAAAGTTACCAAGTTCAAAGACCAAAGGTAGATAAATCCACAAAGATGGGAAGAAACCAGCGCAAAAAGGCTGAAATTGCCAAAAACTGGAACACTTCCTCTCCTCCAAGGCATCATAACCCCCCACCAGCAAGGGAACAAAACTGGATAAAGAATGAGTTTGATGAATTGACAGAAGCAGACTTTAGAAGGTGGATAATAACAAACATCTCTGAGCTAAAGGATCATGTTCTAATTCAATGCAAGGAAGATAAGAACTTTGAAAAAAGGTTAGACGCAATGCTAACTAGAATAACCAGTTTAGAGAAGAACATAAACAACCTGATGGAGCTGAAAAATACAGCACGAGAAGTTCCTGAAGCATACACAAGTTTCAATAGCCAAATTGATCAAGCAGAAGAAAGGATATCAGAGATTGAAGATCATCTCAATGAAATAAAGCAAGAAGACAAGATTAGAGAAAAAAAGTAAAAAAAAAATGAACAAAGCCTCCAAGAAATATCAAATTATGTGAAAAGACCAAAAGGACATTTGAGGAGTATACCTGAAAGTGAAGGGGTGAATGAAGCCACATTGGATAACACTTTTCAGGATTTTATCCAGAACTTTCCCAATGTAGCAAGGAAGGCCAACATTCAAATTCAAGAAATACAGAGAACACCACACTCCAGAAGAGCAACCCAAAGACACATAATCATTAGATTCACCAAGGTTGAAACGAAGGAAAAAATGCTAAGGGCACCCAATGAGAAAGGTTGGGTTACTCACAAAGGGAAGACAATGAGACTAACAGCAAATGTCTTGGCAGAAACCCTGCAAGCCAGAAAAGAGTCGGGGGCAATATTCAATATTCTTAAAGAAAATAATTTTCAACCCAGCATTTCATATTCAGCCAAACTAAGCTTCATAGATGGAGGAGAAATAAAACTCTTTATGAACAAGCAAATGCTAAAAGATTTTGTCACCACCAGGCCTGCCTTGTAAGAGCTACTGAAGGAAGCACTACACATGAAAAGGAAAACTGATACCAGCCCCTGCAAAAAGATACCAAATTGTAAAGATCATCGACACTATAAAGAAACTGCATCAACAAACAGGCAAAATAACCAGCTATTATCATAGTGACAGGATCAAATTCACACAAAAGAATATTAACCTTAAATGTAAATGGGCTAAATGCCCCAATTAAAAGACACAAACTGGCAAATTGGATAATAAGTCAAGGACCCTTTGGTCTGCTATATTCAGGAGATCCATCTTATGTGCAAAGACACGCATAGGCTCAAAATAAAGGGATGGAGGAATATTTATCAAGCAAATGGAAAGAAAAAAAAAGCAGCAGTTGCAATCCTAGTATCCAATAAAACATTTTAAGCCAACAAAGATCAAAAGAGACAAGGGATTTACATAATGGTAAAGAAATCAATGCAATAAGTAGAGCTAACTGTCCTAATTTTATATGCACCCAATACAGGAGCACCCAGATTCATAAAGCAAGTTCTTAGAGATCTACAAAGAGACTTAGACTCCCACACAATAAAAATGAAATACTTTAACACTCCACTGTCCATATTAGACACATCAGCGAGACAGAAAATTAACAAGGACATCCAGGACTTGAACACAGCTTTGGACCAAGCAAACCTAGTAGACATCGACAGAACTCTCCACACCAAATCAACAGAATATACATTCTTCTCAGCACCACAACACACTTATTCAAAAACTGACCACAAAATCGGAAGTAAAACACTCCTCAGCAAATGCTAGAGAATGAAAATCATAACTAACGGTATCTCAGAGCACAGTGCAATCAAATTAGAACTCAGGATCAAAAAGCTCACTCAAAACCACACAACTACATGGAAACTGAACAACCTGCTCCTGAATGACTACTGGATAAATAACGAAATGAATACAGAATAAAGATGTTCTTTGAAACCAATGAGAATGAAGACACAATGTACCAGGATCTCTGGGACACATTTAAAGCAGTATGTAGAGGGAAATTTATAGCACTAAATGCCCAAAAGAGAAAGCAGGAAAGATTGAAAATTGACACCCTAACATCACAAAGAAAAGAACTGCAGAAGCAAGAACAAATAAATTCAAAAGCTAACAAGACATCAACTAACTAAGATCAGAGCAGAACTGAAGGAGATAGAGACATGAAAAACCCTTCAAAAAATTAAAGAATCCAGAAGCTGGTTGTTTGAAAAGATCAACAAAATAGGGCTGGGTGCCGTGGCTCAAGCCTGTAATCCCAGCACTTTGGGAGGCCGAGGCGGGTGGATCACGAGGTCAAGAGATCAAGACCATCCTGGTCAACATGGTGAAACCCCGTCTCTACTAAAAAAATAC